ATGCAAGGTTTCTGCTTCTCGTGGTATGTGTAGCAGTAGAGTGGCAGTCATTTGAAGTAGTACGCTAAGAAAGATTGGATTGGAATTGTTCCAGGAAGGCTTCTCACATCAGTTTTATTGGTGATAGTGCTGCTGCAGGTGAAATTGATTGCAAAATGTTTTGATTTCTAATGTGAGTCACTCATGTCTCCTGTCATGGAGACAGGACAAGGGGAAACGGCTGGAAACTGCAGCATAGGAAGTTCCGCACAAACATGCGCAAGAACTTCTTTACAGTGAGGGTGACGGAGCACTGGAACAGGCTGCCCAGGGAGGTGGTGGAGTCTCCTTCTCTGGAGATGTTCAAGACCTGCCTGGACGCCTACCTGTGCGACCTGCTGTAGGGAACCTGCTTTGGCAGGGGGGTTGGACTCGATGATCTCTGGAGGTCCCTTCCAACCCCTACAATTCTGTGATTCTGTGATTCTGTGATTTGTACTTGTGGGAATGAGACTTTGAAAACTGCAGGAAATGTGTGAAGCTTTATTGAAACACTTGGTATGTGATAAGGGAAGGAACCTGTTACCTGTAGAGTGTATATATGGCATGAAAAATATTTCATGATTAGGGCAATAAATTAAGGTCTGTCTTTTTATCATGCCTGTGCATTAGTTTTGCACGGCCTTACTGATGTTGCACCAAATGGAGGTAAAGCTTACCTGTGTGAGCACTAGAAAGCTTTTTGAGATGTAAAGGCTGAAGTCCTGCTCTGATTGCACCAGGGAGGAATGCATTTGCTGTGTGACCAATCCTTTCGGACATGCTCCATTGCCAGTTCTGTTGCTGAATATTCCTTTTACTACTGAATTTCCTCAGAATGCATGGAGAATACATTTTGCTGCAGAGCTGTTTACAGCTATCCAGTGGAGGAAACAAGCAGCACAAGCACAAAAAGCTCAACAGAGAGCAGGAGGGTGATGGGGTTATGATATATCTGTGTGGCATAAATGAGCCTCTTCAGCTAGATGCTGTTCTCAGGTTAACTTTTGTGTCATGCTGGTCTCCTGGATGCTGGACCCTTGGGTGCTGGCTAATGTACTGTTGTATCACTACTTTTTATTTCCCCACCCCCAGTACTACAGGAGCCAAGGTTCAGCAGCCTTGTCAAAGCTTTAACTGAGATCACAGGTTTTAAGAAGAAGGCATGAAAGGCAGGCACAGCAGTTCATGGTTTGGGCTTCCTCTTTCATCAGCTTTGTAATTGAAAGATACCTGTAGTTGTTGTCCTAGCATAAAAGTTCGAAATAATGAGTAAATATTCATATAGTCATCTGGGCTCTTAGGTGAATATTCCTTATTCTGCTTTGGTAGGTGAAAACAAAACATCCAATTTACCTTTCTCGCTAAGCAGTTTCCCAATACACTGTGTGAGCAAAATGAGGGTAATAAAAAATGTCAGCAGGGGAGCAGACACCATGATTTTTCTCTTGGCTGCACACATAAGCAAAGCTCTGCAGTATGCATGTAGTAGCTGTCTCTGTCTGTGTGAATGCTGTCTTAACCTGGAAAACCTTGGGAGCCTGCTAACTGTGCCTTGCAGCTAGGTGCCATGGCAACAGGTTGCTTAGTAACAGCTTTTGTTCTTTGGTGGAAATCATCTTGACTCTCTCAGATTTCACTTTTTTGGAGGTCAGAAGTTGTTCCTCAGATGAAAGCAGGAGAGCTCTTCAAAGGAGATGCAGAAACACTGGTATTTGGTGAAATGTTTGTTATTCGTGGTGGTGGAAAGAAGACAGCTCCCTCATCTTTACTTAGTTGAAACTGGTGTTAGCATCTCACCAACAGATACAGCAGTTCTTGGAAACAGGGTGGCTGTAGGAGTTCAGGGGAATTTGTCTGCCATGCAACCATTAGTCCCACTAAGAGCAGTAGGCAAATAGTAACAGCTTAAAACTCCCACAACCTAGAAAATATCTGAAAATAAGGCCTTGATTTACTGTTCTCCAGAAGGACTACTAAGCCTCCATTGACTTGGTTCTGGTCTATACTGGCATCCTTTATGAATCAGAATTTAAAGAATGACAACCATAAGTTTCAGAAGAGTGGTTTCAGGATATTTATGGATGTACTTGACAAGATCTCATGGGAGGCTGCCTTGGAGGGCAGAGAGCACAAGTACTCTGGTGTAGAGCAAGCCAAATGTGGCAGAATGCTGTGACGTGAAATCAAACACTGTAACACACATAAGGTTGTAAAGCAGGTATGTTTATTACGGCACTGGGTGCAAGGGGGATATCTCCAAACTCGCACAGCTAAGAAAAGCAATAGGTACATATTTAAAGACATCATGTACACATATTCATTACATTCCAAGAAAATGGGTCAGAATTCCAAGAAATCATTAACATTGTCCCACCCTCTTGAGCATACGTCTTAAAAATGTGGTGGGGGACTCTGGCAGCCAGTGGATGAAGGCTAGTAGTTTACCTTGCTGTGAACGTCCAACCTTTTAGGGGAGGTAACCCGAAGCAGCCCATATTGGTGTTGTGTTGAGCTGAGTATCTGTTTCACTTCAACAACAGGGCATCTATTCTTACTTATAATTGTTTAGCAGTGAGTTTCCACGGACTCTGCATTCTCTTCTTGAGCTTATGTGTATGCAGGCATCTCGTCCTTCAGTTTGTATCCACTGAAGTTACGGGAAAAGGCTGTTCTCACAATATGGGAAAGCTGTTCTCACAATTCAGCTGGTGTGGATCAGCAGGAACCATCTGACTGACCTCAGGTACACAAAGAAAGTGCATGGAGGCAGATATCAGGCAGGACTTCCTAGGAGAGACACAGCACCAGAATTACAGTGATGAAGCTGGGAAGGCAAAGCTCAGCTGGCGCTTAAACTAGCAACAGGAAGGGCTTCTGTGGCATCAAGACTAAACGTGGGCCTGCTGTTCCATTGGGCCAGAGGCAAGTGGAAATTGAAAGTGTTCAGTGCCTTTTATGCCTTGACTTTCACCAGTCTGCTCTCAGGCCTCCCAGGTTTCTGAACCGACAAACAGTCTGTGGTAATACATCAGTGGAGGTTGGTGGCCCTGCATGTGGCAGGGGGTTGGAGATTCATGGTCCTTGAGGTCCCTTCCAACCCTGGCCATTCTGTGATCATTACCCACAGCAGAGATGGACGGTGATGAAGCTCTCTTTTGCTCACTGAACGTACAGCAGCCTCTGACATCTGATGTTACTGTGAGGCAAAAAAGGCAAGTGTTTGCCTTGTTTTCAAGGCAGGAAGAGTGAGTATGGTGGGAGCTGTAGGGTGGTTACCCTCACCATGGTCACTGGGAAGGCAATGGAGCAAATCCTCCTGGAAGACATGCAAGTATGTAAGGTACAAGAAGATGTTTGTCAACAGCTACTACTGGATTTACTGAAGGCAAATAGTGCCTGACCAACCCAGTCACCTTCCATGATGAGATGACTGGTGCTGTTGACAAGAAGAAAATGGTGAATAGTTTTTAAGTTTGACTCTAGCATGGCCTTTGATGTGATCTTCTGTAGTATTCTTATGACCAAATTGGTGAGGTGTGGACTGAGCACATGAGCTGTATGGTGTGTGGAAAACTGGCTCAAAATGTTCATGATCTGTGACATAAAGTCAGATGGCAATATCCATCAAATTTGCACTGTCAATTAGTGACATCCCTCAAGGGATATCATGGCAAATAGTATTTAATATCGTTACTAACCACCTGGATGATGGGATTGAGTGCACCTTCAGCCATTCTATGAGTAAAATCAAACTGGGGAGTGATTGGTAATCAGTAAAAAGAGCTGCTTGTTAGAGGGGTCTGGGCATGCTGAAGAAGCAGCACAGGAACATCATGAATTTCAGTAAAGGCAAGTATAGAGAGCTGTGCCTAGAATGGAATAACCCTGTGCACCAGTTCCTGGCTGGAACATCAGAAAGGATCTTGCAGAAGGTGGTGGACAAGTTGAACCTCAGTCCATATTGTCCTCTTCTTGCAAAGGTCAGCAGTGTTCTGGACTGCATTAGAAAGGACATGGCTACAGCTGCAGAGCTTTGTTCAGTTTTGTGTTCCATGGTGCAAAGAAATGTACTGAATACAAGAAGGAGTCCAAGGAAGAGCTTTAACAATGGCCATGGTAAAGATGGATATTACTGCTGCCTATGGGAGCAGTGATGGCTTTCTGATGGGAGGGTGTAGGGGAGCTGAAGCCATGTGTTTTTTGGAGATGAATAGTGAAATAGCAGAGGGCTACACAGGGCAGTGGAGGGAGGGACACCAGAAAAGAAGAAGCAGGGTTTGAAGGGAAGCTGTAGTTGGATGAAATTAACAAAAAAAAAAGAACCCAATCAAACAAAAAAAGCAGAGAGGCTGACTTGGATTGTTTTAAAGCTGTTTTTTTCCCGCAAATTTTAGAATTACTTTACAAAGCATTACTTGTCCTTGTGGTAGATGAGCATTTATTTGAGGTTTGTACTTGGCTTCAGCTTCAACACATCGATGGCAAATCAGAACACAGAGTTCATCATCAGTGGACTGGCCTGTGAAAGTACTGCCCTGCTCATCCTCCCTGTGATGTTGTTGTGGTAGGGAAATGCACTTGGGAGATATAAATCTTTAAGACATGCCTGCTTGTCTTTAAAGAGATCACAGAGCTTTCTTCATGCGTGGAAATGTCAAACGTCTAGACCAAGTTATCAGATGTTTGGTTGCATCTTGGCAGTGTAGGACATGCCAGCATTTACATCAGGGAAAACAAGATTAATGTTCTCTGCTTTCTGTCTAAGAATACTTTGGCTGTGCTGCTGTGCAGTTACTGGCCATATGGCAGCCCAGGACAGGTTGTATTGCATACTCTCAGAGAGTCAGCCGGCTTTATGTAGAACTGCTGGATTTGCAGAACCTTTTGGCTTCTTTCCAGAAAGGAAGTTATTATATAAATAGAAAAATGTCTCACTTTTAAAGTCTGCCATCCATTCATGGAAAGGAAGGACTCTGTGATGGAGCTGTGATATGCTAGCTATTAAATACAGGTCTTAAGACAAGTTCTGTGATATGATGAACCACTTGAACACATTTCAAAGGGATTTGAGTGAACTCAGTAGCCTATTGCGTCACATTTCTGTTAGCTACTTGCTGACATCTGAATAAGGTTTGGCTTTATGAAAGCAGAGTTAAGGAATAATCCATCCTCCCAATTCCCTCCCTCAGCCCAGAACTGCTTCTCTCTCTCTCTCTTAAATGAAAAAAATGTTGTGTTTTTCTTTTTTCCTCTAGTCAGATTAACAGAATGTTTGGGACTGTGGTGGTCGGCGTTGGAATTGCTGGCTTAGCACGGATTCGAGATTTGATGAATCCAATGCCTTCTAGCCCTTCAGAGCATCTGAAGCTCCTTGGATTTGTATCCAGGTTAGACATTTCTTCTTAATGTGTAATCTGTGTATTGTGATGTTTCTTTCTTGTGGTGTACATGCCTTTTAATATGGAGGACTATAATTTGGTGGGGACAGGGAGTGAATATCAGAAATTTTATATTTCTCTTAATGCTGTCTGCAAAGGGAAAATTAATGCAAACATGTCTGTCATCCTGAGTGTCAGCTAGGAAATGAGTACAGAAAGCTTTGCAGGAGAGAACAAATAGGCTAACCTGTTGAGATACCTTGCAGAAGGGACTCTCTTTAAAATAAAAAGTAAAAGACCTTCTCGCCACAGAATTTGCGTGATAAATGCAGTTCTGTCTGGGTTAAATCTTCTGTAGGTGCTGGATGTACAGACGTACAATATTTATACTAACGAGCTCAGGTCTGTCTGTATGAAACTTTCAGAAATGTTTACAAAACATGAGGTTTACAAATTTTAAAAGTGTATTGAAGATAAAGTTTTATGAAAATATTTGTTGTAAAGCTCTTCACACTGCAATTTCATCATTTATTTCTTATTTTTTTAAACCAGATACTGTAACTTTAAAGAAACTCCCATAATTTAGTACCTACAGTAAGGCTGCCTTTCAGAGAGCAATGTTATTTTTTTCTTGCCAGTCTGGAGCAACAGAAATTTAGTGGAAATGCTATACATGTACTTCCATCTTAGTATTCCTGCTGGACTCTCTGCTGCATAACAATAGAGCATGGAGGTTTTAAACAGTCACAGGGTACATGTGTGGGTCTCAGACTGTGAGTGTTTTTTTCCAGCTATATTTAAGTCATGTAGTCAGGTTGTTTGAGACTGAAAGGACCCAGTAGGTCATCCAATTTATCTCCCTGCCAAATGCAGTCCTGGTTCTCTGATGCCTTTGTTAGGGCTACAGCTACTCTGGAACCACACTAAAGATCGGATTTCCACTACTTCTATTGAGAAACAATTCTGTTGAAATGCACAGTTCACAGGCAGCTTGCTTGTATATATGTATTGCCTTTCTCTTTGCATTCCAAATACGCAGAAGCATTGCCTGTCTTTCTTTTCAAGACCTGACTATGGCCTATCCTCATCCTCAGTGTCATCTACCATAACTCAGCCAAGCTGTAAGATCTGTTTACTCATATGAGGGGCATTTGCTGTTGGTGCACGTTTTGTTTTGAGGTGGAGACATGCTCAGTGTGTTGACCAGGAGAGCCTTTGCCTTAGTACTGGCATGGTGCATGTGTTGCAGGTCACGTGCCATCACAGCCAACTGTTTGTTTTGTCCATTGCATTGCGTGTGGTCCTGCCAACTCAGGTGCTTTGGACCATGTGGCCAACACTGGGAGTAGTTCTCCAGCAGGAACACTGTTCTCCCTCGTATTAATTTTATAAATAAAACTGCTCCTTTGGTATGATGCTTCTAAAAATATGTTTCAACAGATGGATGGTGTCTACTGATATCCCCACCTGCGCACTGACCCATCTGTTTTGTTCTTTTTTCTGTTCCACTTCTTTCTGTAAGTGCTTTGCCCTTCCTGGATCACAAACTTCCTTTGCTCTGCCTTTATCTCAGTGGTTATCTCAGCAACAGTTTCTAAGTGCTGCTGCAGAACATGCAATTGGGAAGAAAGGACTGAAATAATTATGCTCTGGTTGTATTTATGCAAAATACACAGGAGAAGTTTTGGCAATATTAATGAAGCCAAGCAGATTAGCCTGGAAGATGCTCTAAGAAGCAAAGAGATTCATGCAGCCTTTATCAGCACAGAGAACAAAAGCCACGAAGAAACCATCAGGTATTTTGTATTGCTTTTTCTGTTGTTTTCCCTTGCCTCCACCTTCCATATTAATTTAGGAGCATAAAGAGTCAGTGTACAGCTGTTGCAGGAGAACATGTGGACACCTGAGGAGAGAAAGAAACCTGAAGTAATGACTGTGACTTCCCTGAAGTACCACATGAGCCATGTAATGGGTTCATAGAACCATAGAATAACCGGAGTTGAAAAGGACCTCAAAGATCATCTAGTTTCAACCCCCCTGCTGAGGGCAGTGTTGCCACCAGACCAGGCTGCCCAGAGCCACATCCACTGAATGCCTGCAGGGATGGGGCATCCACAGCCTCCTTGGGCAGTCTGTTCCAGTGCCTCGCCACCCTCTGGCTGAAAAACTTCCTCCTAATATGCCAAGCAGAGGGGGACAATCACCTCCCTCTCCCTGCTGGCTGCCCCTTTTTAATGCAGCCCAGAACACAGCTGGCCTTCCGGGCTGCAGGCGCACACTGCTGCCTCATGTCGATGAGGATCAGCTAGCACGGTGAGAAATGATTATGACAGTATACTTTTTAAAGACTGATCTTGTATCCCTTTCAGAATGTTTTTAGAAGCTGGGAAGCATGTCCTTGTTGAGTACCCCATGGCTTTGTCTGCTAAGGCAGCCCATGAGCTCTGGGAGATGGCTGAGCAAAAAGGTAATGGAGTTTCTTCTCAGTGCTGCAAACAGCACTACCTACTGAATAGCACTAAAGGCATCAAACCCAAAGGCAGGACCCTCCAGTCTACTATTAATTACAGAATGCAAGGCAGCGCACCTGTCTCAGAGATGTCAGCCTAGGATTTAAGATGTGTGCCAATGGGAAAATAAATAAACAGATGTCAAAGCTAAGGGTAAGGTGCTGTTAAAGAGAAGTTCCGTCACAGTGATAGTAGGACATTTAATAAATGTAGCCTTAGGGCTACACCTCCCTGTCTTTTCCCTGAAAATAAAGCTGGAAACAGCTCCTCTAGCTTCTAGTATTTGTGAGTTGCTGGTCACGCACAGCTGCTTATGCTTTTGCAGTCCAGCAAGACATCCCTGTTTGAAAGAAAGTTTGTCCCCAGGCAAGATGTTTTTAACTGCAGAAAGCCTGTGGCCCCATCCCTGCAGTACCATGGATGAGAAGGTGGCAGTTCAGCTGAGGCCAGTAAATGGACTCAAGAAAAAGAACAGTGCTGGCAGAATTAGAGTCCAAATAATTTGGATAGGCTGCACTGTTTATATTTCCACTTCTTAAAAACATCCCTTGTGACTTTTGTCCTAAAATACTGAAGGTATAGGATTTCTGCTTTGTGCTCTCCTTATTCTGACACCAACTTGCTGCCTTGTTGCTAGCAAAATGGGTTCCCGTTGAGCAAAATTTATACCTCTGCTCTTGAAGCAGCAGCAACTACTTTCAGCAGCTTAAATCAACTCTCTTGAAAACCTACAAAAAAAAAAAAAAGATACTTAATGAGAGCCAGATTTAATTTTTATTAGATGGCATTTTTTTCCAGAGTAGCCCAATTAATTACAGTGGAAGAGGTAGTTTTTATTATATTGTTACAAACTGGGTCTAAGTATTGCACTATGTTTTTTTGCTTTGTCTTCTTTCCTATTACTCTGGGAAGAAGAATGCAGAACGGGAAGCATGAGGGGAAGGAGGACAAGAATTCACCCATCTTTTACTTGAAGTCTGATTTTTCAGCTGTAGTTGGGTATTGGGTTTCATTGCAGAGTTTCTGTTGAGCACAGTGGATACTGTTACTGTAGTCACTGCATTTGTCATCTCCTGAAAATCACAAACCCAAGCAGATGCCTCAACATAGGGCCTGCGTTTTCTTTTCCTCCTAACAAAATTTTGCAAGCCATTTGTGAGAGCATTTTTAAGTGAGCTCCCACTGGTGGCTGGTGAAGCCTTTACTGTTCAGATGTGTTTCATACAGAAAGTTCTTATTTAATCTGGCCTGATTTGTTTGTTTATTTATTAATGACAGGTAAAGTCCTCCACGTGGAGCATATTGAACTTCTGACTGAAGAATACAAGCAGCTGAAAAAGGAGGTGGCTGGGAAAGATCTAGTGAAGGGAACGTTACATTTCACAGGTCAGTAGTTGTGTGGAAGTTCAGCCAGATTTGTTGGCTTGCACCACAGGAATCCAGCCCTTCCAGACCAGACCTTTTATATGACAGTCTGCCTATAAATTGACGTGACACACAAATATCACCTCTTGATATTTCCTTTAAATTACAGAAGGGTCTGGAAAACACTTGCCTTACTAGTTAATAGGTCACCTGTGACCTATTTTCTATTCTCTTTCTGCTACCACTTGTGAAGAAAGCAAGCCTGTACCTTTCAAGGGGTGGACCATTTCTTCACCTCTCGTGTGCTTTGGTGGTATCAACTAGCTCCCTCATCCTAGTATCAATATGAGCTCTGAGGACATGTCCACGTTTCCAGTGGAGACTTTAAGCATTCCACACTAGTGATGGAAGTGATGGGAGAGATTTTTGTGCATTTCTTTCTCTGTGTGAATCCACATATACCCTTCTTTCCTCAGCACATCCTTAAGGCTTATTGCACGTGTACTTCGTGCAGTGTTCTCTGTCACAGCACTCCAACAAATCCATTTCAAGGTCAGTCATATTTGTTGACTTGCTACTCAGTTCATCCACTGCTGGTCCTTCTACACCCTGCTCTCAGAGCCTGCAGTACTGTAATTCTTCAGCCTTTACTGTGCAGCACGCATTATTATTTTCCATTTCTCAAGTTTTTCTGTTGCTATTACACCAGGCAGTGTCCTCGATGAAACAAAAGCAGGGTTCCCAGCTTTCAGTGGAATTGCCCGACTGACTTGGCTGATTGACCTCTTTGGTGACCTCACTGTTACCTCCGCCACCAGAGAAGAGCAGAAGGATAAGAATTATTCTAGAATGACTGTCCATTTTCAGACTGCAAACAAGAAGTGAGTAATGGTTATAGCAGCCAGATGAGACAGCCTGTTTGGGTATCATCTGTAGGACGTCTACATCCTTTCTCTTGTGGAAATAGAATATGTTAATACTGGTTTTAGAGCGTTACAAGCAAAAGAGACCTGAGAGTATTTCCTGTAGCAATCATGGTAAAGAAGAGCCATAACCAAGCAATGTCTGTGGGAGGGCACAAGAATGTTTTAAAAGTTCTTTCCTGATGTCTCAATGTGGGAATGGGTTCATAATGCATTTATGCATTTCCTGTGCCTTAGATTGAAAAGCCTTTTTCTTGCATCCAGAAAAGGTTTTCAGAGGTAGGATTTTTTTTGTTTAACAGTACACATTGTAGATGTATGTTGAACAGTAACCCTTGTTTAAAGGTTGGAAATATATGTCTATTTGAAAACCCAGTGGAGTAGTCATAATATGTAGCTTGTAGCACTGTAATGCTGTAGTTATGTGCTACTAGCTGAAGGTTAAGAGAAAATGACACATTTTAAGCATTCTGATGCTACAGAGAGGTCTGCTCTTGATTAATGTCTATCTTGGAGTACTGACATTGATTTTTCCTGAATGGGTCATCAGTCTGTTTTCCGTATCTTGTTTTGTGTTTGTTTGTTCGTTTTCCTTTATGTTTCACCAATCTGTCAGACTGTGAGAGTGAGAATCCAGCAGCCAGGATTACTTATTATTTTGTCCAGCCGCTGCTGTATGATTTCCTTGCAGAAAACTCTTCCGATACTGCAATTTATAATACTGAATTAGATCTCTGTTTTATTACACGTTAACAATAACCTTGCTGTAAAGTAGCATTTTATTAGTGACCTTGCTAAAGAATATGTTTCTAAATATTTTATGAGCGTGCCATATTGAGAATTAAGTACCCATTCAGTGCATAGAATGTTGATGAATTTTGCTGGAAACTATTCATTTTGATTACTGTGGACTTCATGCAGATGGTCATCTCCTTTTCAAGCAAGCTGAAGTTGAAAAGCACCGAAGCATGCTAGAGCTGCAGTGTAAGAATTGTCTGACTTGTCTGATACAGAGAAGTTACCAGTCTCTGTATGTTTCCTAGTGGGTGGGGATGGCGATAGAACACTTTGTTCCTTTCTTTTCACTCACATTTTCCTGTTTTTCCATGAAGTCTGTTCTGCCTTTATAGGCAAATGAGAAGACTAGGGAGAACCAGGGAAAAGGTGACCACATAGGGAAATATCCTGACCTACCTTTGTTCATAATGAATTACCTTTTTTGTTGTTGCACGTATATAGAATAATGATCTGTAGAACTATATATCTGGGCAGAGAAGAATCAAGGCTCACTTGGACCATTGGTTTCACTGCAGATTTTGCTGAGCTCCTACAAAGCTTGTTTCAGTTTATGATGGGATAGGCATCTTGTCTGAGTGATCTTTCTGCCTCTCTAAATAAAAAAAAAAACACTGTAGTTAAGAGAGGACAGAACTCCATACACCATCCATGTTTACCCTCTTAGCAATTTGCAAGTAATGAGAGTGTCTGTAAAGCTCAGTGTAGAGTGAGATTTTGAACTAATTCCAGCAGGTGGAACTAGTGGATGGTTTAAGCATTTCCCTGGCTGGCCTGTCTCTAAGTAGTCCTTGTAAATACAACTGCCATGTGTTTATGAGGTACGGAACTGTTTCTGGATTATTTTTCTTGCAACACAGCTGACAGATACCTGCTTTTCTTAGCTCATGGCTAACCCTGCATGTGGGTCAGTCAGTAAGTATTTTGTCACCATGAGCATTTTCATGACCCTCGTGACAGTTGCTTTATGCTTCAGGATAACTTAACACTGGCTGGAAAGTTACATAGCGTGCCAGTGTGCCTGTCGGCCTCTGCACTGCATTTCCTGCTGACCTTCCCCCACTGACGTCAGTGAACGTACAACAGTAGGGAATTTGGCCCACTCTCCAAGTGAAGTTACGAACCTACAGCTCTATGAACTCACAGCTCTCACATGCTCAAGTTCTGTCTTGCTTAAGGGATGGGAAAGCTTTGCAGCTTTCCTGAAAGCTAGCACACCCTTCTTTGAAAGACATAAATGCACTAACCTTGAGAAATCAGGTTAATTCAGCCCCTTTCTGCCTTAGAAAAAGCAGCAGGTGCAGAGTACAGCAGCCTGTGTTCTGCTTGTTTGAGCAGGGATTTGTGCAAAGGCTATGGCGTGTCCCTGCTGCATAGTCTGCACTGGCTGCTAATCTGTCTCAGGTGGATTTTGGAGATGTGCATTAACATCCCAAGCTCAGTTATCTGAGAGATGACCTCTGCCTCTTTCGTGTTTCCAAGGCAGTTGAGCTGACAGCCTTTCTGTGCTAAAATGTTAAGCAATCCAGGAAAAGGCAGACCTCAGCTGACAGTACGGCTGGTTTGGGACTGCAGTTTCTGTCCTATTATACAGCCTGGATTCAATAAATGTCAGTGTTTTAGTGCAAGCTGGAAAGCTAATGATCTGTGCAACATCTGTTCTGATGTTAGCTAGAAATAAGGTCTAGTTCTCATTTGAGGTAAGGCAGCCCTCGTTGATTGCTTAGTAAATAAAGATTACTGGTGTTTTCAACACATGAAACAGGATTTTTAAAAGAAACAGAAGACATTTTCTGAACACGTGCTGCTTGAATAATTGTATTGATTGCAATTGTATGGCAGTAACTGCTTGAAATTGTATTGAGAATGAAGCTTATGAAGTCTAAAAAAATAACTTCAGCCTGAATATCCAAAAAAACCATGTAAAACATGCTTTCTGTATCAAGAGTTGCTTGAAATATTGAGTAGATCCAGCATGCTTTCAAGCATGAAACCAGGTTAATTCTTCTGCAGGTAGGTACGAAGGTTATTTTCTTCATTTTGGTTTTTCAGCTAGCACTGTTCAAGCAGCATGGTTACTTATCACTGAGGCAACAGAGAGTCAGAAAAGATTAAGTATCTTCTAATCTGAATAAAATGTAGCTGTGTAAGCTGTGATGGCCTAAAATCTGGAAAGACAAAATGACTCTGTAAAATCAGTGCGGGTTTTTTTTTGGGTTTTTTTTTTTTTCATAGTAGTGCTTCCTTTTGAAATCAGTGTAAAAGTGGTTTCTCAGTGTTCAGTTTAACTCTCCTTTTCTTTCTTAACTGTCCAACCAAATCAGTTATGGCTTTCTCTAGCTACCAAAAATACTGGGTTTGTTGTTTTCAAATAAAACTACTAATACTACTAAATAACTAATTACTTGCATTACCAGATAGAGCTTTGATGAAGATCTTAAATGAAAGTGGATAAATTACCTAATCAAAAACATCAGCACTATTAAAAATTAAGTTTCCAATATGAAATGCAAACCTGGTTCTTAAGCAACATAGTTGCTTAAACAGTATGCAGTGTTGCAGCATATGTGTCTTTGTAGCGATAAAAAAGGACAAATTTCAATGTAGAAATTGTTAATTAAAAAGTAATGTTTAGTTAGCAACCAAGTGGAACAGCTCTTTGGGAAAATAACTAAAAACCCAATCACAAAAGACAATAAATCTAGTAGTAGAACCAACATTTCCTGCTCACAGATGTAAATCAGCCATTTCTATCTTTTCCTTTTTTCTTTTTTTTTTTTTTTTTTTTTTTTAATTTTGCCTAACTTATGTGATTGTGCTTCTGGTTCAGTGGCTCCCTCAAGCCAGAGTGGAAGACAGCATAAGTTTGAATCTGGTCTTTGATGTGCATCTGCTCTAGATCACCCCAGGGATGCGACCCCATACTGATACTGCCTGTTTTGGATCATCCTATGTACTCCCCACTGTTAGGTGGGAGAGGTCTTTGCCTGTATCTGCCCAGTGGTTTCTTCACACCAGACTGCCTGAGATAAAGCAGCTTCACACAACAGTGGTCTCAACCCTCCATGGATATTTGCTGTCATAAGAAAAAATGCAGCAAAACCAGCCTGGCTGTGGTCAGCAGGAGATGTCTCAGGGAAGGAGAATGTGAACATAAAAACCACAGAGTGATGCACTCCTCAGGCACCCCGTGGCCTTAGGACATCCTGAAACACAAGACATTTGCATTTATTAGTCCTGTGGGGATCTTCCTTTACGCATTATTTGCAGATTGTGGTTTGGATCCTTTGGTTTTTTTTCTTTCGCTACAGTAGTTTAAATTTGTGTGTCATGATTACATATTCTACTGACAGTTTATTCTGCTGGAGGAATGACTGAACACTGAGGCCTTGATTAAATCACTCACAAAGTTTAGGTGTTTAACTTTTCATCCAAATCCACAATTGAATGAATGGATTAAACTTGATTCCTCTCAAGGTAGCTGAACACGTCTGGCTTCATTGTGCGTAGAGAAGAAGCTGGAGAGAGTTTAGGCAGTGTGCTGAAAGCAGTGCTTGCAGCAGTGGCAGAGTTTAGGCTATAACGTGGTGTTCAGCTCTGTAACCAGCAACAAGGCTTGTTGATCAGAACATCCTGAATGAACGTGCAGTGACTGAAATTGTAAAAAGGTGCCTTTATTAGAGCATTTTCTGTAAGTACTGCACAACATGTTTTAAGTAGGACTGTTGATTCAATTTCTTCATAAATACTCTTTTGTTCCACTGTTTCTCCATATTAGGCCTCTGACTTGGATTGAAGAAAGAGGACCAGGAATGAGACGTGAAAAGAAAATCAATTTCTGTTTCACCAGTGGTTGCCTGGAGAACTTCCCTCAAGCCCCAAGGTCTGCTGTGGGCCTTTTCATGCAGGATCAGAACCTCTTTGCCAAAAAACTGCTGGGACAGGTATCCAAGGAAGAGCTGGCTGCTGAGAAATGGCGAATTTTGCGGTGCCTTGACCTTGCTGGGATGATTCAACAGCAGTGTGAACAGCCTGAGAAAATCTGTTCTTGAGGTGGCTCTTCCAAGAGGAACATGGCAGATAGGAAAGCTGTAGGTCTAGAGCTAAGTGTTGCTGTCAGGCAATTGCTGTTTCTGTTATATTGCATTCTCTTTGACTGAATGTCACTCCTGGGTTCTCTATGGGGACTGGAGATCCTGGGCTATGCCCTATGCCTTCTGGTGTTTGCTAGAACAAAGCAACATGTTACCCCGCTCTGATGCATTGCTGTCCTTTCAGGCAGACAGGAACCCAGCAGCAACGAGGTTTCTCATGTTTGCTTCCAAGCAGTTCAGTTGGTAATGTCCCTGAAGCCAGATCACGGAGGATTGCAAATAGGTAACATGATTTTCCTTCTTGAGTATTCTTTCTCTTCTATTTAGATGTATCTGAAAATGAGACATACAGGATTATCTAGAACAGAGCTCTAAAAAGAGTTTTTGACCTCTCTCTGCTTGACCTGCAAAAGTTGTGCCTCCTCAGTCCCAACCTTTTTCTTCTGGGTACTCTGAATTGGTTTGTGTGTTTGCTCTAGTTAGAAGCTATGCCTCTTTTGTTTTGCATTTCACACTGGAAATCATTTACCTTCAAACAGAACCTATAATGGTACCAAACCAGAATAGAAATATCTTGTTTCTGACAGATGCAAGTTGAGTCCATTCTATTTCTCTGATGCCCTGTGCCAACACAGAAATGTTTTTCCAGAGGAGATAAAAACAATACGTTAAACTGATACATCACCTGCTTACTTTCCTTTTTTTTTTTTTTTCCCATTGGAAGCATTGTGTTACTGTCTTTCATTGGTGTTCTGTATTCTGATTCAGCATGTGAATGATTCTCACCTAAAAATAATATATGTCCTGATATTAAAAAAAAACTAACTGGTGTTCTCCTGGAAACAGTAAAAGTCGTTAGAAATAGTGATAAAATTAGAGTAGGACTGTAGGAAATAGAGCAATTTGCAAATATAGCCATGCAATTACCAAGTATCACAGCTGTGGGGATGGATGTGTGGCATTTTACAGTAGTCCCAGGGTCACATATGAAGACATTATCACTTCCCTAAAGAATCACTTTATTGGAGAAGAAGCCTGAATAGTGCACAAAACTATTAACAATTTCTCTGCCTTTATTTTCTAATTACAGCATTTGCCTGTGCTGTGTTAATATAGCAGCAAACTTCAGCCTACACAGTTCTCTCAAATGCAGACCCATCATCTCCTTAATACGTTACCATGTTGGCAATTTTGAGTAAGGACTTTATATGTTATAGATGTGTATATAACCACAACTACACAGTACTGATGGAAAAGGATTTTCCATTAACTCAATCATATTTATTCTCAAATTAGATACAGTTCAGTTAGAGTTTGAATCAGAGAAGGAAGGAAAGGCTGTATTTTGTTTCCCAAATAATTCAGGAGCAACTAGGGCTTGATATGTGAATGAGTTCACAAAATACGTTTGAATCTATTACATCTATTAAAGTCAGTGAAAAGTATTTCAAGTGTTTGAAATCCGTGTGTGTCACTAGCAGATCTGTGCAGGCAGATCACGTGCTTGTCCACCCAAACAGATCCCTTACTGAGAATTCTCAGGGACTTATTTATGAATGTAATGGACTTTGCTTGGGTGGACCTGATGCTAAGTGAGTGGGAAGGATTTTATCCCAATGGATTCATGGCAAAACACAAGAAGTCCATCCTGGATCAAAATGAAATTAAAATCTGCTGTGTATGTGTATCTGCTATGTATGACAGCACGCACAGTTTCCTGTTTGCTGTCAGACTCCTCATCTGTGAGCCTGGGGTGAATACCACTTGCTAACTGACAGCAGGCAGTCAGGGAGGGACAGCAAAGGGAAGGGAGATTTCACGCTCCCCAGAAGCATCTAAATTAACCAGTAAGTCTCCCTGGGGCTGCTCTGTAGTTCCTCATGAGAGCTGTAGTTAGCAGTATTCCTCTAAGGAGTGAACAAAAGCTCGTGGGAGCACTGTAAAGCAGCACTGCAGCCATTCAGTGAATTGCCCTGGAGAAGCCTCTTTCTGTAGCCTGGGAAAATTAGCTGGTTATTTTGAGCTGGTGGAGGCAGATTCTGGGTGTCCTGCGCTGTCCTCCATCCCCACTGTTCCTCCCAGCAAATCTACTGCACTTGAAAGCCTGGAGCATTCAAACTGTGTTATCTTTGAAACTGTGAATTTGCTGATGCTGCCATGGTTTGTATACAAGAACTACTGGGTATCAAGCTTCAAACATATATCCTTAATCAGATGTCAAACTCACCAATAAAAAACTGGAGTTCTTAATCATTCCTTTTGGTTCTGTTGTCCTTCATTAGCAATTGTCTGTGCTGAAAATCTCTCTGTCCCAATGGGTTCTATTCCCCTTCTCGCTCCTTATGCCCTGTGAAGTCCTGCCAGCAACTGCGTGCTGTGATCCATTTCTAAAGCCCACAGCTGTCTCCTTCTCCTGTTTCAGAGTTTTGAATACGAGTGTCCTGGAGTCAGAGACCTTATCTCAACTTGTGATCCCTCCCACAAAATTCCTGCTCCTCTGATCCTAGTCTGCCCCCTGCCCACGAGTGCATGAAAATTTAAATCTCAGCTGGACACTTCCAGCTTTCCATTCAAAAACTGGTGATCTCGAGCACCCTTTTTGAACCTGATAAATATAATCTAAAACGTGTTGAAAGAGGTTTCCTTGTGGATTAATGAGTAGCTTAATCATAGCAGAAAAACTTTCAGAAGAGTTTCTCAGATAGTACTTGGCACAGTCTGAACTGTCAGTTATGGAAGTATGAAAAGCTAAGTATGAGGTATGGCACGGACAAATTAGCATACATTCTTTGTATCTGGCTTTTTGCTACTTCTGCTGGAACTGCTCCTGTGGCACAGCTGAAGAAGTCCACTGAAGTATGCTTTGTTAACTGCCTAGTGCTATGGAGTTGATGCGGAAAATGCTGTATTGTAACATGTTCCTATGTGAAAGAGGAAGCCTCCTCAAGGCTTGAGCTTTGTCTCATGCCATTGAGCCGCTAAATTCATTCAACTGAACAGCTCAGCTGAGTTGGTTTGTTCCAAACTCATTTTCAGAGAGTTAGAGGTAAGGGAAATGGAAAATTTCCATGGAGCAAAGAAACAATGATATGAGGTCATGCAAAGCTGTGGAGGAAGTTCTCACTCAAGATGTTCAGTCCCTTCAGGCTGGCAGCATGGCCTGACAGTGTACTGGTGAGTGGCCAACAGAGGCAGCCTAGTGGGACCGCTAGCTCCGTGTTTCCAGCAGGCCAGAGATCTGTGCACTGTGTTATGCAGTGTGTTCTGGACAATGTGAATAAGATTTGACACCAGAAAACTAAGCGTATCCAGGAAAATGATTCAAGATTTTTGACAAAGAAAGCAAGTTCTTTGGGAAGCCTTAAGGGCTGGAAGCTGTTACCTGTATAGACTGGGTTAGATGAAATTGCAGGTGTCTGTTGACAAACTTCTGCTTTTATTCACAGAAGTTATGCAGCACAGGTATGATCAGAGCAAAATTCAGCCCTAACCTAGAAGACAAGAGGTGTCTGTGCACTACACTGTGATTTTGTACAAAATACCTGAGCGAGCTCTGAATGGCCTCCTCAGGTACTGCACGGGGCTGGCTTCTTCAGCAATTGCATCTGAGCAAATGTGTTCTGTTTCTCAGTGCTGTTTGCCCATGTGGTCATACAGGTCACATTGAAGGACCTGATCAGCTCCTGGTTTTCCACTAAAACTGCCATCATCAATAATATTTTCTTCCTGTTCACACTTATCTGTGGGGCACCAGTAAGAATTGCAGCTTTTGCTTTCCTGCTGACCCATGCTGATTGAAACCAACACTTTGGAACAGAGGCGTAAGGCTCATGAGGCTTGGGCCTGCCACATAGCAATGCTTGTGAAGCTGCCTGTGTCACAGCTGACAAAGCTCTGTACTTAGAGCTTCTCTTCCCCGTCCTCACAATGCATGCACTTCACTGGGGCCCACCTGTGTGCAGGTAAATGAGAAAAGAAACCTCAAAACCATAACTGAAGTTCAAAATGCTATAAGTAAGAACTTCAAATAATAGCCTGCAAACACACCTGCTAGCTCTTACAACAAGTATCTGTAGCCTGATCTGATGTAAAGAATTTGTTTAGTCCTGGTTACTGCTTCAAAACTTCTCAGGAAATTCATACTCAGAATATTCTAGGTGACATTCAGTGTGAGCTGGCTTTCTGATTTTGTCACTGCTGCTAATTTTGCAGCCTACTAATGTTGCTGTTTGCCATCCCTAGTGTGACGTGTCATCCTGCTGACTACCAGAGAGACACCGCTTTTCCCTGGTAGCAGCACACCAACAGTGTTTGGTTTTGATAATTCCTTGGCATGCTATCTTGATGAGTTCCTTGAGAGAAAGCCTGGGACTGTACTTGTCTTTCATGAGGTTCTGGTAACTGACTGGAGCTGTTTGTGCAAGGAATGTGCCTTGTGCAGGAATTTATGGCTGATCTCCTAGGCAGCAGTATCCTTCTACTGTGTAGTTCCAAAGGTTACATCTCTCTCTCTCTATATGTATGTGTGTGTACAGGGTCAAATTGCACAGTATTGTTCTTTGTGATCTAACCTGTCCCAGTGATGACTTATTTTATTTTCAAAAATACACCATTTTATGGTAAGTTGAAGTGCCTCTTTTCTGGTTATCATTAGCAGTACTTGTAGGTATGAGTTTGCAAAGTGTTCATGGCATTTCAAATGCATGAGGACACTTTTTAAAACAATTTTTCTTTCTAGTACTGGCACAAAATACATGTTTATATAGGAAAGGCCTAAATTCTGACATTTTCCTATTAATGTCTGTACCTACATTTTAACGTAGAATTTTTGCATGCGAGTAGTGTTTAATTTCACAGTCTCGTTCACACAGTGTTAATGTTTAGTTTTTTCCTTTAACACTGATGAAGTCTGTTTGTGTGCAGAATTTGAATGTTATGGAAATTTCTTTAGGAACTTGTTAAGATTTGGAATTCCAAGTGCATTATCTTTACCTTATTTTGTCCTAGGGTAGAAAGCCAGGAAACCTAAACCATGTATGTTACTGTTTCCACACTATATGTCCTGAGCTTTTCTGTTAGGCTAGATGCAGTGAACTTGAACAGAATAGATTTTTATGTAGTTTTTCATGTACCTCTTCCCTCTTGCTGGACATGATTTTTTTTTGCTTTACCCAGTGCAATCCACCTCTGCCACTAACCTGCTGTGTAAATACATTTGCTTCCCTTGTAGTGCCATGTCCTGCTGTTTTGCCTTCACCTCCGTGTGCTCTTGAGACTGTTGCTCATCTCTGTTTTTTTCAGATACCAGCTTAATTATGTGGCTATGCACAATAGCACTTCCATAAAGTTACAGCATAAGTTTTTCTGTTAAATTGTCAGCTCTTAAAGCTTTTTCTACTTTTGCTTTTGAGCTTGATTTCATTAGGAATTCATCTTTTAGCCTGTCATCCCATCCTGTTAAGGCACAGCCACCTTACTGTCAGTTATAGCCAGGCTGTACACCCAAAAATCATTTTGGAATGTCCTCTATTTCAGTCATCAGAGCAGCTCTTTGCAGGGAGATATCTTTCACAGGAAAACAAATTTTTTTGCTGTTCAGGCAATACACCTATTTTTTTTCTATTCAGCATCATGAGTGATGTGCTCTGCAGCTATCCTTACTTCTTCCCTGGTGCATAGCATTATGGGCACCTCAGTACAGAAAGGACATGGAGGTGCTGGAGCAGGTCCAGAGAAGGGCATCCAGGCTTGTGAAGGGCTTGGAGAATATGGCCTATGAGGAGCGACTGAAGGAACTGGGCCTGTTTAGTCTGGGAAAAAGGAAGGTGGGAGGAGACCTTATTGCTCTCTTCAAATACCTGAAAGGTGATTGCAGCAGAGCGGGTCTGGTCTCTTCTCACTGGTGACAGGACGAGGGGAAATGACCTCAAGTTGTGCCAGGGTAAGTTTAGGTTGGATATCAGGAAAAAATTATTTACAGAAAGGGCTGTTAAGCACTGGGATAGGCTGCCCAGGGAGGTGGTTGAGTCACCATCCCTGGATGTGTTTAAAAACTGTTTGGATGTGGTGCTCAGGGACATGATTTAGGGGAGGGTTGTTAGAGTTAGGGTGGTATGGTTAGGTTGCAGTTGGACTTGATGATCTTGAAGGTCTTTTCCATCCTGAGCAATTCTATGATTCTACGTGGGCTACATCACCCAACGTCTTTGAGACAATCAGGTTTGTTGAGTGCTTCTCTGCTGCCTGTCTGTCTGCAGTCCTAACAGTGTGAAAAACCATGGCAAGCAATATGTTTCTTCCATTCATATTAACTTCTAGCAGGATGGATTTTATATCCAGCTAGGGCAGAGTAAAGCAAAGAGTTTTCTATATTCTTGTTGCTTGTAAATCCCCTCAAAGCCATTATGCTCTCAGCTTGGCTCAGCACATAGCAGGGCCTAGCCATGGTGTCTTAGGCTGCAATTTGACATGTCTTCAAGCAGGGCCACCAAGCAGCCACAGCTTGTCCCTGCCCAGCTGCCTCAATGCATCTGCAGTACCTCCATCTGCTACTCTTGCCCTACCTGCTGAAGTTCCTCCAAATGCGCAGTGCTGCTACTGCTGTGGTCCTGTTCCCAGTACCTCAAGATGCATCGTCCTGATGACCAGTGGGGTGATTGAAACAATGGGCTGAGGAGAGCTGAGAGGGAGGATGCTCAAAATCTGGCCAGCATCTGAAGGGATGGAGTCTAGTATGGACAGAGGAGTCAAGAGACCAAACTGTAACTCTTGGTTGGCACTTCACTGACATTCTCACAAGGAAGAAAGAAGTAGAAAAAGGAAACTTTTTTTTTGCTTTTTTTTTTTTTCTGTATGTGTGTAGACAATAACTCAAAAAACGTGGATCACCTTTCTTTTCTAGTGCTTGTTTCCAAATACTCCAGACTATAGTCCAAGCTGCGATTTTGTGTTGAAAGCAGATCCACCTCCATCAGGGCAGAACCTTCACAGAACCATTGGTCTCAGGCAGTACTGGAGGAGACCCAGAACCCACCCCTACCATCACATGGCTGATATATTTAACAATAGAAGTAATGCCTCCTGTCTTATTCTGGTGGCCCATGATATCAGAGGTGGATGTTGGAAGTATGGCTACAGAGTTTGAACCCTCCTGACAATATTCCACTACTTGTCATTGCCGTGTGACAGATGGCAGCAGAGGGGCAGTCTGACAGAATAGCATCTTAGATGGAAGCGTGTATGAAGCAAAGGTT